ACACCAGCCTAAACTACCTGGGGGATGCAGCCAAGTTAAACGCACTCAACTACTTTATGTGGAGACAGCTAGGAAAAATCACCCCAACCACATTATAATAATATCATTATCGCACCTCTTGAGGCAACCCTCGGAATGTTGTACAACGAAGAGCAAACACCCAGGTGTGCTCTTACGTTTACCAATCAATGCTCTCTCAGTTAAAGTGAACGGAGCACCATCATTGGATAGCCTTGAGAGAAGGCTTGACAAGCATGTACCTAACTCCTGACTATCTTCTTCCTCTTGGATCAGCTGTGTCTCGTGCATTTCTCAAAAATTACGACGTTTATCGCTACCGCATATCTGTAACTACTTCCTAAGTCTCTCATTATCATCCGCTTATACCCTCTTTTTTTCCATATTACGTCTTCTTATACTGTCTACATTACCAATTGGTTGGTTCATTTATTTACCTACCAACTTATCTACATAATATTTTTTGAAACAACAGTTTCCATGGTGGTCTAGCTTCAACTGACTCATGATCATAACCATTGAAATTACTACAATCTCCACAAAACCCATCTGATATAAAAACTACTAAAATGACTAGAATTTGTGCAGTCGAGAGAATGAACTATCACCAATTGGACATTCTCAAATGCCCGGAACCGTAATGAAATAACAAGGAGGGAACTCAAAAGAATCGATCAGTTTATACAAGCTCGTGTCATAGATATTGGATATAAGACTGAAGAGATCATTTTCGAATATTCAAGGTCAGAGTAAGTAAAGCAGCATTCAGTTGTTAGTTATCTTGCGTCTAGCCTAAAGGTGTCTTGCGTGTTTAGAGAGCATGAAAAGCAGTAAATCTGAGTTAATTTAAGATGGAAATTTACATGAAAACCGTCTATAGCAATTGGTAATAACACAAACGTATGGTTAAGATAGTCTGAGAATGAAAACTAAAGTTTGGTATCGCATTGTTTTAAGTAGTGATTAACCGTACACCGTTTGTTTAGTGCTCAGTAACTAAAATAACAGTCCCTTGTAGACGTGCTCCCGCTTGTTTTCTAAAGCTGCGTAAAATATTCCAGCATGATTTTTGAGCTTCCCAGTTTTAAGTAAATCAAGAATCAGAGCCTAATCTTCCTGTTTTCAAGAAACTTTTGAGGGCTTCCTTAAACTTTGGGGAAAACTTCAAAGTCGGGGGATTGGGAGTATCTCTACCTCAATACAAAACTTGGAAATCAATGAGTCTACAAGTGAAAGACAAATTGGGACATCCATACGACAACGTGCTCCTTTTTAAATCATATCTGTGAGATAGCAGCAGGCGAAATTAATGGTTCTGACAAAGCTCACCTGCTTGAGTGGAACTCATATGCAAAGGCTTGATATTTCGGTTTATCTGAATAACGTATCCAGACTACCATCCGAAGAGACTATATCTTATGCGCAAATCAACGAAATTAAGGACAGAAAGTCCTGGATTTTCATATGGCGGGGTGAAAAGGCGAAATCAGATTTTCAGTCGTGATTTTTGGTGAAAATTATTGTTTCTTATACAATTTGATGACTATTTAGAGTAATATTTCCTCTCTGTTGTGATATTCTATTCGTTATAACACTAATTCATTTGAGTGTAATGTTTAATAATAATTTTCTTGTTATGTCCCAATGAGTGGAAAATTGTATTTCCGACGTTACGTGACTTATACAAGCCGCTTCTTCAGAGTAAATGAATCAGTCAGTCAGTAACAACGTAGAACTCCGTACGTACCCACATCAGTTCGAGTTGCCATACCACATTAGCACAGAGATGCAGTTGTCGATTCAAATCCCGCAGCCATGTAAGTGATGCCCACCCCGAGGCAGCATGGAATGATACCCGAAAAGCTGTGGAAATAGCAGTGATATCTACTAGTAAGGTAAACCATAAAGTTAGGGGAAAATACCGGATCTCAGCAGCATCTACCGCACTGATAGGTGCTCGAAAACTCATCCCTTTCTGGCTCTGAACATGACGAAGGGCGAAGTCAGGCTGATAAGAAGCCTGCGCAATGATCGCGGACAGTGGCGGGTAGCGAAAGCTCGAGATGGAAAAGGCAGTGGCAATGGATAATAGCAGACAACTGTTCAGACTTGTCAAGGAAACCGGTATTAGGAACCCAACTGTTAGCGAGACTATCTCAGAAGAAGATGGATATATTATTCATTCTCAGTCCAGGAGATTGGATCGATGGGCAGAACACTTTAGGAATCAGTTCAACTGACCGTCAGCCACACTTCGGTTCCTCACGATTTTCAGTCAACCTAAATAGCTGATATCACTTCCCGGTTTCCCACACCGTGGAAGGGTACTTCTTCAGGAACCTTAAAATGAAGTTAGATTAGTGTTGGTCTTAACGACCTGGTAGCGTTACCGCAGAGCCCAAGGGACAACTGCTTGAAGCCGGTCGCGCACGGCCTTTTTGTGGGAGGTTTTTGACGTGTTAGCTCCGTCCTTCAAAGGACCTTACCACCGGAGACGGAAATCCGTGAGGTAAGGTGTGGTGTGACATTTTTAGGGTCGACCTTTTCTAACCCCTTCCTCCCTTGTGAAAAGGCGGCATCGCTGCAGATGCTGGTTGTCCGAGGGAAACACCTTACTGCTGTCCCACTCCTCTACAGTCACCAGTACGACTTCGCCCTCAGACCTTGAGTTGCTGCTTTTAATCTTGCCGTTCTCCAATCGACCTATCTGGCATGGTAGAACCTACAGGAACATATGTTCCACCCAATATAGCTCGGTTGGGTCATCGCGATAGGCAAGCCGGACCACCACGTCGAGGTAGCAGTTACGGTCGGGAGAGTAAATAAATAACTGACGTCTATTCGAGGTACGATATCCCCGTATTAAGTTAACATGAACCACGACCTGCATGACATGCAGGATGTGATTTGTTATAACGCTTGGTATTTTTCATATGTGTGGTTTTATTCTAATTAATAAACGAAATAGGTGTATGATCAATATATTAGTGTATTTTTGACTAGGTTCGTCGTCGTATTTTGGGGTCAATAAATTTTCGCTTGTACCAGTCTCGGTGTTCCTACTTCACATCGTGGGAATTGCATTGGTTTATCGTTTTTTTCAAGTATAAATAATAAGCGACGCAGATACAACAGGTTTCGACGCTAAACTTATCTATACTTATATGCAAATAGCATCCCAGTATTATAGTTGTTGTCGATTTGTGGCGAAAACTCTTACTTTAATTCCTAACCCTAAATTCCAACTTTAAATCATAATCCTAATTACTCATACTAATTTCTAACCTATTTTTAACCTCACTAAGGTGATTTGTCTTAAGGTCACTTTCAGTCAGTCAGCTACAACGTAGGACCAGGCACATATGCATCGGTCCAAGTTGCCATACCGCACTAGCACAGAAAGATAAACACCGGATTCATAGGAGTGGTTAAGTCAATGGTGGTAATATATAAAAAAAGATTGCATATGAGGACATAGTACAGGAAGAAAGAATTAGTTCGTGGAAAGAAATATATGAAGCGATTTTAATCTCATGGTTTGTGGAAAGATAAACAGTGTATACACCGACGCCATTGTGACCGATTCTGGGCCGTGTCACACAGAGTTTCTAACCATTGATTACAATAGTCAGGTGTAACCCAACCAAGTAATCTGCATCTTTCAAAATGGTTCAGTCTAAAAGTCAGTGACTTCAAGCATTGATGCCACGTTTTGGTTTGGCCGCCCCTAACTTTCTTCCAACCATTCCGAACACCGGTTAGCTAAGTACGAGGAATAATAGGAAGTGAAGACGGAGGTTGATTAGGAATACAGTGGTCTTGAGTGCTGTTAGAGGTATGAGGGCGGTTATCACTTCCCGGTTTCCCACACCGTGAAAGGTTTGTTCTGGAGGTACCTGAAGAGGAAATTGGATTAAAGGTGGTCTTAGTGACCTGAGAGCGTGACCGCAGTGCTCAAGGGACAACTGCTTGAGGTCGGTCACACACGATCTTTTTATGGGTAATTTTCGTGTTAGCTCCGTACTTGCTGAGACCTTACCGCCGGAGACGGATATCCGTAGGATAAGGCGAGGTGTGCATTTTTAGGGTCGACCTTTTCTAGTGGCTTTATCTGAGAGTGGGTCAGTGGTTCCTTATTCTCAGAGTTACTTCCACTAGATACCGACTTTCCAACCTTATCCCAATATTACCTTTAGTCTATGTGTGTACCCCTAATGATACTCATGATGCCCATTACTCCCCTCATTTATCTTGTTCAAAACTGATTGAAATAGATTTCTAAACATTTAGTGTTTTCGTACTAGCTGCGTTAACCCAATGACCTTTACTATAATCTAGCTAAAACTTACCACGATTCAACTTGTACTTAACACCTGGTTTATTGGTAAACTGATTATTTATTTATTTTATTTAAACACAAACATAGGTACAAGAAGGCACCAAATAAATATCCGCCACATAAATCATTCGATTTGTGTGAGGGCTCGATTACTGCCCGGGCGCACAAACCGAGGCAGATGGTCTTCTTGGAGGGCCACTTCCCGAGCCTCTGACCTAGAGGTCTAATCCATAAGGCAGTGGAGCAACGTCAAGAGATGCAGTCCCATGGTAGCCGTTGGTCAGCTATAGGTTCATACTCAATTTTTCCCTTAGGATCCTGGGACCCATGTGCACTATTGGTTTGGAATCAGGGTTTCCCAATTCCCATAGATAGATTCTCTACATCCGTTAACCCGGTTAAAACGCCGGACATTCGCCTTTCGTCCTCTCAATTTTATAAATAACACCCCCACTGTGAGAAGATAGTGAGTAGAACTTCCCTGACACTGGCTGTATACGCGTTGCCATGTGAGAGCATTTCAAGAGAGGGTAGAATCTCCCCACCCTCGACCGTACCAGGTCATTTGGGGTTGATTTTACTTTACGTTCTATACGTGTGATCATCTCATAGGCCTGCCGGACTGCATCTACAAGTGAAGCTCATGAAAATTGGTGAGTTCTTGTTGACCAGTTTCATTTTCATTCTGTATGGTATCTCAATGCAGTTGATATTTTTTTGTTCAGGTTTTTTAATGAAAATAGCAGATGTTGAACAGTGCGCTTTTAATTCATGGTATCACACTTTTGAATCTTACACTCAAGAAAGGTACACTATGTAAATGATATCACTGATAAATTCTCCTACAGTATATTTATAAATCTCCCAGATGACCTTATAGCTTCATTGACAAATGACGAATTCATTCTCCCTAAAAGGTAATTACCGTAAATATATTGGAAACTAGGTAGTTTTGATTCATTCTCTTATTTCCTCTCTAAATAACCAATTAATTATATGGTTAGACTAAAACTAGTGAGCTAGCCATGCCTGTTAAATTTCTCCCACCTATCTAAATTCATTCTTGATTTGTCTGCCACTTTTTGTGCGGTCCCTCGAATAATTTGAAAGCGAAAGCAAAACTAATAGCTGGGAAAATGTATATTTTCTGCAATAAAATGACTCGCTCATACACAAAAAATGACATGGCAAAATACGACAGACTATTCGAGGAAATTAGTTTCCAGACCACTCCCTCTTGCGCATCGTATTATACATTTTGTTTATTTTTGAAACATACCTAATTCCTTTTATGTCTGGCGCACTCGTGTGCTACTACAACTTAGGCAAAGGAACTAAGACATACAAATGGTCATACATGTTGATTGGATTAACAGTTCACTGCGATAATCATGTGTAGTGCATTGCAATATCTAATTTCCAATAAATGATTAAATATAACAGAAGTTACTAGATATCATTACGTAGTATTTTGCGACATGAAGATGGTAGGCGAAGAAAAAATGAAGACAATATAGCATAAAACAAATACAATACTGCTATATTATTATTATTTCTATTAGGTGAGATTTAATGTTATGTTGTATATACACTTTTCATAGTCCTAGTAAATTCTGTGTAGAAAATAAAGTTGCTGCTCTTTATTCCTTAAATTTAGGTTGTTGTACTTTCCATTTACCAACCAGTAATGTTTAATTATTTATTTAAAATGCCAAGCTTAGCACGTCTTTGTTACAAACTATAAATATTCTGCCTCTTTGAATGTATGTTTTTAGTGCAAAACCAACAAACGGACATCTGTCGGACCTAGACAACGACGTGAGTTACAAAAACGTTTTTTTCATGCTACTTATAAAATGCATAGTAGCCCAATCGTTAAGCTTTACGTCCCATATGTTGTTCAGGGCCAAAATATTACTTGGGTAGCATAAATAAATCAGACGAAGTGGGTTTGAATCCACGTTGAATGCTTGAGATCCGAGTCCATAAACAATTGAACCGCATCTTTACGATCAAATATGATATTGTATTCAGCTTTAGTCAGGATGAATCATTATGTAAAGTTGTGTTACGATATGCTTTAACTAGTTTTGGATGTCTGTGCAATCGTTTACTGCGTGACTTTTGGTCAGCGATTTGTTACATCGAACTCCTTAAGTGATACATGATTGTTTACTGCATAACAGTAATTTAATACCCAGTTTCCTGCCCTCAGTAAGCATTCATAACCATTTAAACTTGTTTATTCTATTTATTTATTTACTTCGAAAAAGTTGTTTATATTGTCACAAAACGTCGGAAATACAATTTTTCTACTCACTGGGATATAACTGCCGATTCCAAGCTCTGGTAAAGGGGTAGGGTTGAGCATAGGGTCGGTAACTCCATCCTGTTAAAAAAAACCTTGCTAAAAAACGCCAACCAGAAGAAACAAATTAAACCATTTGAACTCTGACCTGGGAGTTGAAAGAAGAATTATGACGCCTCGTGATGAAATTCGAAATTTTTCCAACGCCACGAGGCTGTCGCTCCTTCTAACAACCACAACAACAATTAATACAGGTACAAGGAATGTCTGGACAATGTGGAAGATCGGGAGAACCAGTCAAATATCAACGAAAATGAGGCGATACAACTTAACAGTACTCGGAATGAGCGAAACGTATTGGACCCAAGCTGGACAGCAAAGGTTAGATACGGGAGAGATGCTGCTGTACTCTGGTCACGAAAAAAATGCTCCGCACACTCAGGGAGTTGCTCTGATACTGTCCAAAGTAGCACGAAATTCACTTACAGGATGGGAATTTCATGGGTCCAGGATCATCAAAGCATCATTCAAAACAAAGAAGAAGGGAATCACAATGAATGTTGTCCAGTGTTATGCACCGATCAATAATAGCAATGAAGACAATGAAGATCAGTTTTGTGAAAGGCTGTAATCGATCATAGCGAAGTGCTCAGGAAAAGACATGACAATCCTGATGTGAGACTTAAACGTCAAGGTCGAGATGGAAAACATCGAGTAAGAAGATATCATGGGACAACATGGACTGACTAGAAAAAAGGAACGAAAATGGTGAGAGATTTTCAAATTTATGTGCATCCAACAAAATGGTTATAGGTGGCACAATATTCTCCCTCAAACGCATACACAAAGCTACATGGATCTCACCAGATCACACTACAAAGAACCAGATTGATCATATTTGCATTAGTAAAAAATTCACAAGGTTAATGGAGGACGCGTGAACCAGGAGAGGTTTAATACAGCCTTCCTTCGACAGACTGACAAACTCAACGAATTTAAGTTAACTCTCAACAACAGGTTCCAAGCCGCACAGGATCTACTAAAAGAAGAAACTACTATGGAGGACAACTAGAAAGGGGTCAAAGAAGCACTAACTTCAACATTTTAGGAGGTGCTGGGAGGCAAGAAGTATCATGATAAGGAATGGATCTATAGAAACCCGGGACAAGATTGAAGAAAAGAAGATCAAGAAAACAGCAATTAACAACAGTTGAACAAGAACAGAAAAAGTCAAGGCAAAACTGAAAACACAGAAGCAAATAAGCAAGTGAAGAGGAGAATTAGAGCCGGCAAACAAAAATACGTGAAAGAGCTAGCAGCGACAGCGGAAAAAGCTACAAAAGAAGGAAATGTGAAACGACTATATGACACAACGAGGAAACTGGCAGGGAAATATAGTAAACCAGAGAAAGCAATCAAGCACAAATAAGGTAAGACAACCACCGAGATTCAAGAACAAAGGAACAGATGGGTGAAATACTTCAAGGAACTTTTGAAAAGACCACCTCTATTGAATCCATCAAACATCGAAACAGCACTTACAGACCTTCGTATAGTTGTCACCCCACCGACGATCGAAGATATCAGGATGGCCATCAGATAAATCAAGATTGGGAAAGCAGCAGGATCTGACAAAAATACCAGCTGAAGCACGAAAGACAAACATAGTGGTAACTGCAAACATGCTCCGCATCCTATTCAGGAAGATTTGGGAGGAAGAACGAGTACTGACGGACTGGAAAGGAGGACACCTCATCAAGATACCAAAGAAAGATCCAAGCAAATACGAGAATTACAGAAGCATCTCAATACTGTCAGTACCAGAAAAGGCTTTCAACGGAGCGTTGCTGAACCGGATGAAAGACCGAGTAGACGCACAAATTCGAGATCAACAGGCTGGATTCCGAAAGGGTCGGTTGTGCACAGACTAATTCGCGATACTACGGAGCATTGTTGAACAACCAGTTAAATAGAGCTCGTCACTATGCCTCAACTTCCTTGATTGTGAGAAAGTATTTGATAGTGCAGATAGGAGAACATTATAGAATCTTCTTCAACACTATGGAGTTCCTGAGAAATTTGTCAATATCATCCGGAATTTATACGACGAACTGCAGTGCGAAGTCATGAATGGAGAAAAGCTGTCAGAAATTCCAAGTGAGGACCGCAGTCGGACAAGGCTGCTTAGACTCACCCTTTCCCTTTCTTCTGGTGGTCGACTGGGTTATGGATGCCTCGACATCTGAGAGGGAACGCGGAATACAACGGATAGCTCGGAATCAATTAGAATATTTGGAATTCGCAGATGACCTGACCCTTCTATTCCATACACATGAACAAATGTAGATGAAGACAACTAGTGTAGCGGCAGTCTCTGCATCAGTAGCTTTCAAGATACACAAAGAGAAAGGCAAGGTCCTCAAATACAACACGGAGAACACCAATCCAGTCACACTTGATGGAGAAACTCTGGAACAGGTGGGAACATTCACGTATCTGAGTAGCATCGTCGATGATTAAGGAGGATCTAATGCAGAAATGAAGGCAAGGATTGGTGAATCAAGGGCAGAAATTTTACAATTGAAGGACATATGGGACTCAAAACAACTGTCAACATACATCAAAGTCAGGATGTTCAGTACGAACGTCAAGACAGTTCTGATGTACGGAGCTGAAACTTGGAGAACTATCACAACCATCATCATGAAGATACAAGTATTTATGAAAAATTGTCTACGTAAGATACTTAATGTCCGTTAGCCGGATATCATCAGCGACAGCCTACTGTGTGAGAGAACTAACCAGCTTCCACCAGACGAGGAAATTAGGGGAAGACGTTGGAGGTGGATAGGATATACTTTGCGGAAATCATCAGACTGAATCATGAGGCAAGCACTAACTTGGAATCCTGTAAGGAAACGAAAAAGCGTAAGACCAAGAAATACACTGCGTCAGGAATCGGAAGCAGACATGAAAAGGAGTGCCCAGGACAGAGTTAGATAGAGAAAAGTGTAAAGTCTGTGCTCCTCCACGAGGGGTAACAGGCATAATTAAGTATTAACCTGTCTACTCAATGTTCAATTTATTTTAAACTATCAAATCTAAGCTTGGTATTGATACCATTATCGTGTTTTACTTATAATCGTCTCATATTTTCTTAAAAAGTGTTTTAATTGTTATAATTTCAGGGCATTTGGTCAGACTATTCCGATACTGATGAAAAGAACTCGGAGGTAATTATCACCCAACAAAATTTGAAAAATATTGCGTTAAGAGACCAGAATTTCCTCAGTTCGAATCTCAGTTGAAAAGTATCATCCGGAAGTTAGGTGGTGTTGTATTTCCGAAGTTAAATTGGAGCGCCCCATCTGTAAGTGTTGTATTTCAACATATTTAATTGCTATAGGATGCATCTTGGATGTCTTTCGATGGGTCACTGAAGTGCAAAACGTTTTCCGATATTTACTTACTCCTTAAATCTTCAGATTTCGCAGCACATGACTTGACTGCTCCGTAATGTGTATATTTATACAAACATAACGACCGATATTTTGCGTTCCTTTAGTTTCGCTCTGTGTACAGATACTCCAGCAGAGAAAAATTGCTGTCTTTTCAATTCCAAACCGATTCTTGTTCTACGAAGGTGGTATGACTTTCGTCCCGAGGAAGAATTTCGATGTTTCATTAAATCAAAAGTCCTTATTGGTAAGTTAATCGTAGTGTTACGTCCTTGTGTGTTGTTTGCCCTATTATTTTATATGAGATTTAAGTTGTCATACATGCTGTAGGAGTCGTAAAGATCCGAACTAGACTTTTATGTTGTGTAAACGAGCTCCGGAGTCCTAAGTACTCCTAATCCCCTTAGTAGTCACTTTTTGAAGACTTACACTCAGTGTTGTGTGGGACTCAGATATCCTAAGACTACGAGTGCCATTAAAGCATTCCTTAGTTAACGTTTACATCTTGTTATTTGTTATGACTCGTCAAAATGTCATGTGACAAAATTCCCAATCCGAACACCGACTTATGTAACCTTGACCCTATGTTAAACCAATGGTGCGTTAACCAGCACGAGCAGTCTTGATTCAACTCTGAGTCCTTATTGGTCCTCTGTATAGTAACTTTTCGCCTAACCCAGCCCGTTCAGTCCCGAACACAAATAAAAGCCTCCACTGTATGAATCGTATATTTCAGACATAATTGGTTTTGGATACCCGCAAATGAGACCGCATCATACCATAACATGAAGAATAATAATTATACAAGATCAAGCCAAAAGTGGTTGTATGGGATACTGTAACTTATAAATTGGGAATAAGTTGAGAATGGTAAATCGTATAACATTAGCCAATAGGCGAAATAAAACGTTATGATAAAAGGAATACTAATATATATATATATATATATATATATATATATATATATATATATATATATATTTGATGAACACTGCTTAGGAACTCCATCATACTATAAGACAACTGTTTCATGGATCTTTGTTTCGAACTGCTCCCTATTTAATATCGTTCCATGCAACATACTGCATTTCTTAGTGTTCAGCATGACAAATTTTCTACCAACTGAAATGTCAGTTTTAAAAAAAATACAAACTTAGTCGCCCATAACTTACGACGCGCGAACGCCGAACCTCTAGACTACTAATCCCAGCAGCCAGCGGTGTACACGTTAGTTCACGATATGGCGCAGACATTTTTTGTTGTGAGCATGATGATATAGTATTCCAATTTTTCGTTTACTATGTTTTTATTTCCAATCCTCAAGCAATTTCCCAACGAAAATGTGATGCCTATTTCAAAATAATTGAAGAACAGATAGAAAACATCAAATACGACCTTGTGGAATTCTTTAATCGAAAAATAAGAAATCATTTCAAATCAGAAAACTGTAAATTTTAGTTTTTTTTAAAAAATATTGTTTTAATTCATTTATTAATCTAGATACAGTTGACTTATACAGAGAATCATCGGTAAGTGATTTCTTTCCTAGTGTTATTCTCTTCTTTTTAACTTATGTATAGGACGATGGTAAAATGCGTATTCAAATAATTGATTTCAATGTATTTGGTCCACCAACTGAAGCACTTTTATTTCAGTGGTCGGAATTGGAAAATGATGTACATGAAAATGTGAGTTTAATTAACGCTAATTTTATAGTATACTTCGGTTTATATGACAGCGTAGTTGTTCAAACGCTAGTTTTACGGTTAAGGCATTCGAATACCAACCAATAGGTAGCAGGTCCAAGTCACACTCCACCTTTTTGAATCCAGGCACTGAGGTAATATTACCATCTCTCTCACATAAAGTGCAGCTCAAGCCGAATACACGAATCTATACTTGTTAAATGAATGGCATCATATTAAAATGAAAAGTTGCAGCCTAAGACTTTAGGTGGGATTTGAAATTCAACCCATTTTAAATTTAGCTTATTCTTACTTCATCTCCCTTCCCATGCACAACTAGTGCAAGTTCACTCTTTGTCAGACTGGATAACACTCACTAAGGCCTGAGAACCTTGTGTTGTTGGTGTATCTTTTCTCTAAAACCCATATACAGAACCCAAGTGACCCTAACGAAAAGATGTGGGCAATTCGTACGATCCGTCTTTCGCCTACCAGGAGACTCGTCAATGACGTCTGACGATCTTCCAGGTGTAAATATAGCATTAAGTATGGAAACATAACAGCCACTCCTAGAATTAATTCTAGTTGACAGTTACTTGTGTGCTGATTAAATAAATGGGAAAACAAGAATGTAAAAGAATTATTTCGTTTTATTTAATACACATATATACTATTACAATGGAGTGCCAAAGTATGTTCCACACACGGAAATGCTTTGGCATAAACAGTGGTGAGCATCAGTAAGTGTAGCACTAAAGTTTATTTTTCAAAAAAAAAGAACAATATCAGGGAGTCAACTGTTAGTGGGACTATCTAGAAAAAAGACGGTATAACAGTTCAAAATAGGCGACTGGAATAACAAGAGGGAAGCCTTGAGGTACTGCTCTACAACAACCCTCCAGTTGCCTGCTACTGACTACGAACCTAAATAGAAGACTCATTAGTCTCCCGACTCTAAAAAACTTCATGAGCGACATAACCTAAGACGTTGGGTGGCACCAAAACCTGGTGTTATATTTCAGATGTTCTTAAAGATATGTGTATGAAACAATCATTGAAATTGACTGAGATACTAAGTATAGTCTAGATGCTTACAGTTATCTCGTCAGACTAGTCGTGATCGTTGGCACTTTCGATCCATAAAAAAGGATAGAAATCTTGTGATTATCATCAGAGAATCATGTTGATTGAAATCTCTTTTTTAAATAACGGCTGTCATAATTATCCAGCACACAAAGAAAGCGCGATAGTAGTAAACCTGAAAACATCAGGCGAATTTTCGACTTATCACAGCTTTTATACAGATAAATAACGCTAGAGGCGCTATCAACAAACCACCACATTGATGTGGAGTGCTACATTTAATGAAAAATCACTTCATTATCATCCGTATTTTGTTGATAGGATACTATTCCGTTATTTCGCTACCAAAGTGACCAAAATATCCGTCCAAATTCAGTGAATCAATACAGCGTGCCAATCGATTTGATCGATATTGCTTCAGGATCTGATCCCGTTAAGGTGATGGACTTCATTCAAGCTGTAAGTCCGGAAACATACAGTTACTCATCTATTGTTTTTCATATAAACAGTACAAACGTAAATCTTTGTTATTGATAGCGACATCCCTTATTAATGACACTGGAAATATCACTAACTACTACTGGTATCCTCTCTAAAAGGTTATGTTTCATTGTCAATGCATTTCTAACATTCCTTTTACTTACCCACCATTGTCACACTAGTTCCCGACGTCTTTACATTTTTTAAAGGTATCAAGATATAACGAGTTTAAAGTTGTTTTACGTCCTTGATCTGTCTACCCAGTAATATACAGGAGAGAACTTGTCTCGACCTAGGTTAAGGCTTTAACACGATAGCTTAACTGTTTTAACCTTGAGGCTAGAAATGCATGAGTCTGAATTGAGACTAAAGGCCTTTACCAGAGAGGGGAAGACTATTCCATAACCTGATTGGTTGGCTTCAATTTTTCCGGATCAGGGCGTGTTTCGTAGCGAACAAGTAGTAATTTCCTCATAGTCATACCTTTTTAACAGAAAGTTATTACGTCTAACCACTATGTAGTAAATATGATGCATTACGTACGCGGTGTTGTTATATGGATTTTATTTGGAAACTTTGTGGTTACTACCTTTTATTGGATTTTGTGAAACAAGTAATGTCACGCGTGAGGTTGGTCACCACTAACTACTTATGAACAAATGATCCGAAGTACAGAAGTCATATTTATGGTATAATGTCAACTATATGAAGTTACCCAATAGTGATCACATTCTTTTTCCCTTCATTTGGAAGAACCAAGTTGACAACATACCTATAACGAATTAGGGCTGTATCGTATGATATGCGAAGTAACCGAATAGTCCAAAGTTGTAATGACAATGTTCTCGTTCTAACAACAAATTGATAATAAACTTTTTGTGGAAATGTCTTTCAAAAGATATTTATCTTATTATACACTAAAATACTATAACCTTTTGTCACCCGTTTTGTTTTTTGTCTCATTCCACAGAAAGTAGAAAGTCAGAAACAGTCGTGAAATTGTATTTTCTATGTATGTTATTTTTCAATATTTCGAATAAAAAAAATACATTTTTCTTAGATCAAGCTGGTAATTATTTTTTTTTCTTCGAAGTTTTTGAAACCTTAGTAGGCTTTTTCCTAGCTGGCGACTGTTGCTTTGAACTATATTTCTGTGCAATCTTATCCAGAAAGTTTTCTGATGATTTTAATGCATTTTCATGTCGTGCTTGAATTGCCTTAGCTAATGTATCCAAATCTTCGTTAACATCAACTATCTGTTTTTTGTTTTTATTGTTCTGTTCCTTTGCAAACAACTTTTCTTCCTCTAGTGCTCGTTTAGCTCTTCTCTTTGCTTTCTCAGGTCTTTCATGTGTGTACTTCGTATATGCATCAATTTTACCACTAGATATCAATTTATCAATAAGACCGCGAACTCGACTTTCATCTCGATATGACGTGAGCATTAAAGACTCCATTATAATATCCATATCACCTTTAGAACGATTGTAGATCTTGATCAAATCTTCCGTTTCCTGTTCACTTCCTTTATACTTTTTACAATAGTCATCTATTTGTGCAGTTGTGATTTTAGGAAACAAAAGTTGCCAGTATTTAACCCAATCATCATATGATTTGCCTGTGATCTCATCGTCTTCATCGATAACACCTAAAAATTAAGATTATTCTATTTTTATAAATCGAGAACCAACCTGTCTCATCATAGACTTTACGTTTCTCGTCATCTTCCATGTACGAATAGACTCTAGACAGTACTTGGAAACGTTTTGTCGCCTCTGACTTTGAGTCACTGTCATGGCGATCAGGATGATGAAGTAAAGACAATTTATAGAAAGCTTTACGAACTATAAAAAGATGACATATTTCATATTGTATATTTACGTTCAGTTTTGTCACACTTCTTAGTCACTCCTAAGACTTCATATAAGTTCTTCGTGTGGAAGTATTTAATGCAATCTTTTAGCAAACTTGACATTATATGACCTCAAAAGTCTAAAAAAAATATTAAACGCTAGAGCGCACAACCTTAAGCGAAAATACATACGGCTGTATATAGAAATCAAAATATATTTCAGAGAGAGTTTCCTGACTAAGAAATCTTAACATTTGACTCTTGTTTCCCCGTACTCTTGTCTAGCAAGCAGTCTCAGGAGGTATCAGTAAATAGAAAAGTTGTCAAACATTTGCTTGAAATTTCTATATCATCAACCACCATAAATATGGAACGTCGCATAATATGAATCCACCCCAAAATCATACTTTTATTCCATTCATCACCAACCTCTTAGTTTTTTTACACTGAAGTTTTGAATCCCCTTTGTGCCTTAAATGTCATATATGACACGATTTAGAGTGACGAAATGCGGAATCTATTATTCAATCAACCATACTTTGAATTTCTATAATAACAATAACAAGTTAATAAATACATGAATTCAGAAGTAAAGCACTGACTCCTAGATGGTCATTGTTATTCGGGTGACTATAACAATAACAATTCGTGACAGAGAACACTTTCTTATGAAAAATGTCTACTCAAGAACTCATCAAATGAAGGGTGTTATATATTTTAAGTTTGGGTTGACTGTCAGCCAAATATACTACGCAAAACCGCGCATCGAACCAAGTAATTGCACAGGTGATTGATCGAAAATATATTAGCTGTTGTTTAGTAATCCTACTATTCGAAATGGCTGTTAGTTGATAAGCTTGATAATAGCGCATAGACGCTATCTGATAACAAATGGGTGGGGCGATATGAACTCTTATAGGACGCCGCGTTTGGTTGATGATGAAATACTACGTTAACACACCACATCCAAATATTATCATACCGCTCAATTTATGAAGATATAAGCACTCTTTACACCCAACTATCGCTGATATATCCTATCCTTCAGTCGTTCGCTGTGAATTCTTCAGTGACCGGGAGCAGCGCAGCAAGCACAATTGAACAGTCACAAAAGGAGGACTCGGAGTGACAGGAGGCAGGGGTTTGTATTCCAAAATGGAATAAGAGAGTACAACTAGAGACCATGTTTACAAGTTATGGGTTTTATGTATTATCGTATTTTCAGGACTTTCTTCCTTTCCAATATATTCACTCTTTGTCTCTCTGTAATAGAAAATTTTTGCGTCAATATCATAAGTACAATGGTCTCGAAATAATTATAACTAGCCATCTGTTAAAGAGTTGAAAATCTAAGTAATGCAAGACAAGGTATTATGTTCAATACCTTGACTAGATAATATAAACCAACTCAAACTTTGCTCGGCAGAATAAGCGAACTATCTGTTTATTGATGTGTCTGAGTGGTAAAAGAGCGTTTTTGACGAAAGGTGCAGTTCTGCACCGCACATATTGCAGATTCACTTATTGATGTTAGGTAGTAGTTCGGGTTCTTTGATTGAATTGGTGTTTATGTAGCGACTCGGATTATATATTCCTAGTGATAAGTAACATGTGGTTTGATTTCCTTCTCTGTTTTTATTCAGTTTGATAAAGACAAAGCAATGGATGAGTTATGTAAGTCCTGGTGATGGGGTCTCTTACCGAATCTAAATTTCTTCTAAATGAGCCTACGTGTGGTTTTACGGAGTTCCACCGTTTGATGTTTCTATGAAAAAGTTGATAGTCACCCCATAAGTACTAGTTTCTGGGCTTGTGAATCTCCACGTAGTGTCCTTCTAGATTCTCTGTTCTGAAGGACATGAGTTATGATGGCATTTTAAGTGAAGAATTATAACTAACCAATTTGAACACCGTGATCAAGTCACTACTAGATTTTACCTATAGCAAGGATAATTAGTTTAGTCGGTCGGTCGCTCGCGTAGTGAACTCCAACGGAAGCTTAAACAAGATATAATAATATCTCAAACTGAAACGGCAGTGTGCAAATAAGAAAGTGGTAAAAGTACAACATAATGACAGCCTTGGGTTAACCAATCAGAATTAGAGTAACGCCTCATGAATTTCGCTTCAAGTTCACAATATCCCGTGCTTCCCACCCAGATAATTATCTGCAATTATTCTGAAAAACCTGGATTGTAAATCAACATATCTACTGAATAATCTTTACAGATGAATAAATTGCACTTTTGGATGTAAATATAATGATGATACACCCGCTACTAGTTTACGAGTGTATAGACAAAAGGATGAGGGACTTTATATCTATTCTGAGAGATAAAGCAATAATGCAGGCTTTAAAAACCAATACACGAAAAGTGATATGTAAATTCATGACTCAGGATATATATATATATATATATATATATATATATGCATCGCTTCTTCGACACTGCCGTGCCTAAGAAGATAGTCAACAATTCTTATTAAACTGCAAAATCGTGCATGGAGAACAGCCCATAGACTCGTTCGAAGTAAAGACCGGTGTCAAGCAAGGTTGCTTACTCTGACCCTTTCTCCTGGTGATCGGCTGGATTATGAAGACATCTTCATCTGAGGTAAGCACAGGATACTGCTGGACGACCTAAACGTCACAGATGATCTGGTTCTTTTATCGCATACGCAACAACAAATGCAGAAGATGACCAGCGTAGCAGCAGCAGTAGGTTTCAACGTATACAAAGGGGAAAGCAAGATTCCCCGATGCCACATGCACCAATGGAATCACACTTGACGGGGAGCTTTGGATGATGCAAAAACCTCTACATACCTGGGCAGCCTCATTAATGAGCACGGTGGATCTGATGCAGATGTGAAGGCGCGGATCGGCAAAGCAAGAGCAGCATATCTACAATCGAAGAACATCTGGAACTCAAAACAACTGTCAACCAACACCAAGGTCAGAATTTTCAATACTGTATGGGGCGGAAACTTGTAGAACTGTGAAATCCATCATCTAAAAGATACGAGTGGTTAATAACAGTTGTCTGCGCGAAATACTTCGGATCCGTTGGCCAAACACTATCAGAAGTAACCTACTGTTGGAGAGAATAAACCAGACTCCAGCAGAGGAGAAAATCAGAAGCGCTGGAAGTGGATAGAACACATACAGATTCATCAAGACTGATAAACTCTTGGTTGTGCACTTGATGTACTTTTAAGCAAGATCGCAGGTACAAGGTTGCTCCACCCCCATTCCTGTTTTTTCTGTCGTTGCGAAATAAAGATATCCCTAGTATTGCTAGCTCCCGATCCGTAAATTGAGGTATTCTTATCGAATGAGTATCATTAGTACTACTAAAGTCGCACAGCTCATCCATTTTATTTGGTAAATTCGTGGCATCCATATATAACTAATTTATGCTTTCAGTTCGAAACCCAAGATCTTCACCATCCTGTCTATCTGTATGAGCCTTATGTGAATGGACCTGATGATATCGCTTTCAGAATACAGTATGTCAGGCATTATTTTTACATCCCCACCTGGTTTCAGTAAGTGACTAGCCAGCAGAACATCCACTGCCTCGGCAGCGTTAGTGAGCGTTGCGCCGACTCAGTCTTGGGTGGTTTTGATCCTTGAAGTCCTTTCCCCGAGTGAGCCGTATGACAGTCAGAGGCTCTATATTGGGAAGTTCGAGCTTCCTGTTTAACTCTTTCTTAAAGCATCCTGTCACTTTGGCCATGTAGATTGAGGAGAAGGTCAGAGCTGTCTTTAAGGTCCATGATTACGAGAATCGTCGCGAACCCTGATTGTTTTCCTAGGTTTTCGTATACGTTCAGGATGCAACTTTTTTTGGTAATCGAAGTGCGTTTCAGATCCCTTACTGACTGACTGGACAGTATTAGGGGTAGACTGTATGGCAAAATTACCACTCGGTTTCACTACAATACCTGGGATGTTCTGCTTTCTAGACGGTGAGACAGTTCTTTTTAACTTTGTTGACGGGCGTCCAACCACCTATGGAACTTTTGGGGACCTGTTTCGTTCAGAGACCCTGTGCTGGGAGACGCAATTTTGCTGGGTGAGTCTAGTGCTGTCGATTTTATGATGGTGCTAGGCTTCAGCATGTCCTTACTGGTGTTGACGCATGTTCCGTCGATACTAGCTTTGCCGATGTCCCTCTTTTTTCTTCACCGCGCTCCTTTGTTTGCCTACCTGTCTTAAGACTATCTTTTTTCAGGTTTACTGACAACTTTTTCCACAGACCCATCAAGAGAATGATGGTGGTGCTCAGCCAGTCCTCAACATTCATATTCCACGTGACACATACCCACCTAGTATCCGAGTTATTAAATCTGTCGTAAGTAGTTGCTGTGAGATCTGTTCATGCTTTGTGGAACCAACATTTGCATTTATCACACTGCATTCCAGAGGTGACAATAAATTGGCATCCGGGTCGCTTGGTAATGTGAGATTTTGGTGAGATTACAATATTTGGATGACCTTTAATAGACGCTAGACCGACCTTAAGAATACCCACCTACTAACAAGAACTTATTAAGGTTTATAAACCAGGGTGAGGAACTACAATTATTATTTACAGCTGATGGTTAAGGATAGGAATTAGATTTAGGGTTTTCATCACGAACCGATATCAGCTACAATGACGAAACTCTATTTAGCCAAATGAGTGAGTGAATTCCGCGCCGAAATCCAAGGCATGTTATGTTATATCTGATTGGTTCATCCATAAATTAGTCTCGCAGTAATTTTTAACAGATCCTAGAAAAGGTCTACGACCATAAGACAAAAAACAGCACACTCAAAACGGATAAGATTGATAGAAACGGGTGGTGCAAAAAATTTGGATAGGTGAAAACTAGCTGTAACGTGAAAAATCAAATAGTAATTTGAGACAAAACCACAGTCAATTATTAACTTGGGTAGGGCTCAAGGGAAGTAATCTACCAGGCATTAAGCTTAGGATGTATTATTTGGGTTAAAAACGATACTTTCATTGCGTAAAGACACAGCATAAGTTCGAGAAATGCAAATCACTTTAGGAATAACCGTACCGTTTCAAACGCAAAAAGCAACGTACTTATCAAATAGCCACAAATGAAGGATATGCATGTTATAACAAATAAACAATACTTGTGAATGCAAATGTGACTGTATTTACGAGATCACACGAAGATGTTGTACAAGGATTTTTGCCGGAAAAATCATTAAACATGCATGTCAATATACTCGTCACACACGACTTCTGAGATTCCATGAATTTACCTAATTCCCGTACTTTGAAGCACTCCTAGCAGTTGGTTGTCTTTTTGGAAGAGGATGGCTGTTTATACGAGACTCCTGATTTCCAAAATAATGAATGTTGTATAAAAGGTCAACATTCTCTTCACACCTGCTTAGCTGAAGACAATACTTGAGGAATTCTGAAATGGCAGTGTATAACAGTTTCCAAGGCTCACTTAATGAATGACTCATAAGTGACTTCACCAGTTGAAATCATGAGTCATTTGAAGCTAGACCACCATGGGCAGCCGTTTCGTCCTAGTATGGCACTCCTCAGCAGTGCGCATCCACGATCCCGAGATTCGAACCCAGGGCTCATCAGCCTCGCATTCGAGCACTCAACCGTTAGACCATTGAGCCGGCATCCAACGGTGTTAATGTCTAACTTTAAACAATCCACGAAATTATATATCTAGATGATTTAATATAAAACATAAATGACCTGAAAATAATAGTCGGTAATGGCGAAGTTCTGAACTCTGAACAGCTTTTATCACATCGTATCGTTTGTCATATCTTGATATCTTCAGCTGGAGAGATAACACACCCACGGACTACATGTTCGTGTCCTATTTTCGGTATCTCCGTGTGTCGTTGTGGATTACGTTTCGTTCTGTAGTCTGTTACAATTACGTTATTGTTTTGTTAAAACTCCGATGCGCCAGTCTGAAGATATTTTATCAACTATGCAAAAGTCGTTGTAAGAAAATGATAACTTTGTCTAGATTATCAGCCAGGTTCTAGCGTAAATTTTAAACGGTATTTGGAAATTGCGGGTTCAAATTTCATATACAGTCGTTATTTTTTTATCTCATGTACGGGATTGGACCCATTTTCACAAATTGTGAACAAATGTAAAGGTCTTTTTTAAGAATTCCAGCATTTTAAAAATTTAGAGGCTCTTCATAACCCTCCCTCGAAATTCTTAGTGAAATTACGAAAAGTGATCAATTTTATCCTACATTTAGGAGCTTAGGTCGTTTATGTTGGTGTTTCAAGTCAGCCTACTGGTGTATTGAATTACTGTCGATGAGATTTGCACCGCTTTCTAAAAACATGGAGAAACAAAGTAGGAAATCGCATGAGAGCATTAATGTCGAAGGCTTACGGATTTTGGTGATTTCTTTACAGTTACAATCTTCCAGGTGGCAGTTGAGTTGTATTTTATTCAAGTTGTTTGGATCACTTACAATTAACTTTGTGTCATCATGGTTAGTTGGCATGCATTGTTACTCACTAATAATGTACCTCAAGATGAACTTTGTCATGATTCATACTTATTTCTCTTGCTAACACTGGTTTCTGGTAAGTATAATCGCGCTTCAAAGGCAATGTTACGAATAAATCGATTTGTTATTATTAATAGGGTTCCAACTTTCTGGGTCGAAAATTTTAAAACTGGAATTTCATCTTGAGATATAACCACATTATTGTAGTACATGATTTTGTCAAGTTATGTCATCTAGACTAAACAACGTGTGTTACCTTACATCGGTCATCTAGCAACCAGATTTTTAACAATCACCGTGTCGACGACTAATGGGACATGAGTGAACTCAAACTAACACTGGCCATACTTAAATGTATTGGTATGTAAGCCTGAGTAATTTTTTTCTGATATTTCATATTTACCAACGATGAGAATGCGAATTAATAGAACTGGCATGTGAATCAACGTATAGTTAGTCCGACTATAATAAATTAAAATGTGACACAACAAGATCCCCATTTCCAGGCTAGTGGTTCCTCCAATACTTATATGTATTTAGGTAACGCCTAATATTACGACCGAGATATCAATATGCCGAACTGAAGAACCAAGGTCTATCAGATTAGGCCAGACTATGTTTCAGAGTTACTTGCATTAAACGATATCAAAACACAGACTGTGTAACGACCGAACAGCCAATATTCGGTTGGAACAACGGACTGACGAACCCAAAATTTATTCGATTAGACCAGATCAAGTTCCTCTGTATAGCTCACAACGCGTCTTTGAGATACTCGTATTATATTATATCAAAACACAAACTCTGTGCTCAATATAAACGGTTCTAATTAAGAACAGAACAAATTACATCAAAAATACAAAATACCTCAAACGGTACAGCCTGTGCTATACAGTCAGAAGTTTCTCTGACGCAAAGTAGCGCGCTAAACAATGAAAGAGACAGTTAATACTAAAGGGTTTGATACCTGAGAATCAATACAAATGTTTCCAATAAGATGGGATCAAATATCTATCTGCAGGGATTGCAGCAATTCTCCCAAGCAGACAGTCAGAAGGTTAACAGTCACAAAATGAACCACGCCGTGACCTTGAGCTTAGTCAAACACAACCTTACTGTCAATGGTCCGGCAACATGCAATAGAAAATTAGGTAACAAAAATAAGTCTTTAGTCAAAATCACATAATAAAGGCTCAAACGGGGAAGACTGAAGAACAAAAGACATGGTTAAACGAGATCGAAACAAAGGTTGGAATACACAAAAGGGAGAAGGAACAAATAAATGAAAATACTGTTCAACAAAGAAGCTGCAGAGGGATTTTCACCGTTGTCTTTCCGTTACACCGGCCCCCAAAATCCCTCCAGCTACGCAAAGACACCTTAGAATACATTTCTGTCATGGCTCTCCTTACTAACTGCTCTATATCAGTGGGAGGCACAGGACTTACAACAGTACGCCTGTACATCCATAAACCCAAGCTACAATCTACTATTACTCGGCTCCCTCTAGAAGGCAGAGCTTTCGCAAATCTCTTCTTACTACACATTCTCTCATTCGCACCATCACTGTTCTTACCAATCCATCTCTATCTGTCTCGCACTTATCAACCCGTCCCATGGCCATGACCCCGAGTAGTTGCATCGTTAGCCACTAGAACTACATCACCTTTTAAGTTTCTGTGTTTGCAAAACCATTTCTGCCTCACCTGCAGTAAAGGAATGTACTCTTTTATCCATCGACGCCAGAAGGTATTGGCTAAACAATTTACCTGTCTCCATCTCTTTGAATACCTATCCGCAACACTACACTGCATTCCTAAACCATCACAGTCTCTTAGTAATAACAAAGTGTTTGGCGTGAGCGCCAAATCATCCTTTTCATCTGATGTCACAGGAACGATTGGGCGGTTTTTTAAAATTCGTTCTACCTCCACAAAATAAGTTGCCAAACTATAATCGTGTAGTATTTGCCCGTTGGAAATAAATAGTAAGATCCTCCGAACAGACCGTATTAATCTCTCCCAAACTCCGCCTCGATGGCTAGCTAGTGGGGGGTTGAAATGCCAGCGTATACCTTTCAATACTGTTAAGTCGTTTATTTTATGTTTGTCCCACACACTCATATTAGCCCGTAATTCGGAAGTAGCCCCGACAAAGTTAGTTCCATTGTCGCTATAGATTTCCTTAGGAGTTCCTCTCCTTCCTATGAAACGTATTAAAGCCATTATAAAAGCATCAGTACTCAAATTGAAAGCTGCTTCCAAATGTACGGCACGTGTTTGGAGACACGTAAATAGGCATCCATATTTTTTTCCTCACTTCTTCCCCGACGAACTATCAACGGCCCAAAATAGTCTATCCCGACGGAGGAGAAGCAAAACCAGCCTTGCTGCACTCGACACTTGGGGAGAGGTGCCATCATCTGTTGGCCTAATGTGGCTTTCGTGCGTATACACCTCACACATCTACCTATCACTCGTTTAACTGCACTGGTTCCTTTAACAATCCAATAATTTCGTCGTATGGTAGCTAACACTTGTGATGTCCCGGTGTGACCTTCTAGGTGGTGATGGTGTCTAATAATAAGTTCTGTTACGAAGTGATGACTGGGCAAAATTACCGGATGTCTGATTGAGAGTGGATAATCCGAGTAATTTAATCGTCCGCCGACACAAAGCAATCCATCGATTAGCGTAGGTGAAAGATTTTTTAGCTCTTTTATATCAGTTGCGCTTACGCCATTGCATCGAGACACTTTTACTGCTTCCCCATACACTTCCTTTTGCACTAAGGCTAATACCTTGTGTTTAGCTGCATCCAATTCATCAACTGACAGATAGCCCACACTTAGGGACCTGTCTTTGTGGTGGGAGTACATGATGGTTATATAGGTCACGTATCTTCTGAGCCATGCTACCGCTTTAATCAGCTTTATCCAATTTGAGTGATATAGCAGAATTGGACTTAAGCTATGTTTTTTCGCAACTGCGTTGGTCGTGTGACATCTTTTAAATTCAACATTTTCTGGGGGGTTTTCGCACATAAGCGTTAGTGTTCCTACAGACTCCTTCTTCCATAAGAAGGAAGGACTCTCAATCCAGTCCTTTAAATCTAGCTCCTTCCGTATGCCTCGTGATGTCCAGTCAGCAGGATTTTCATTGGATTCTACGTGCCCCCACTGGTCCACACATGTTAAATGACGAATAGCGGCCAGACGATTAGCCACGAAGGTGGAATACCTACTATCTGTATTTTTTATATAGTACAGTACTATCATAGAATCCGTCCAGAAGTGAGTCTTGTCAAACACATGAGGAAGGTTCTTATTTAAAACTTCCCCCATTCTAGCACTCAATACTGCCGCTGTTAGTTCCAGTCTAGGCACAGCTACCTGTTTTATAGGTGCCACTCTAGACTTACTATAGAGTAAAACGATGTCCGGTGGTTTGCGCCTGAGTATGTTCCACGAATAGACAGAGGAACTGCAACCTGTCTTAGTCAGGATCTTCATTCTAAAGTCGGCAAGAACTCTACCAGCAAAGTCCAATCGCAAAACAGTATAAGGCAACGCATA